TGGCCACAAAGCCATCAATTCCCGACACTGGAGCGCCTTTCTTTGGCCGCAATGTGACAAAGAAACGCACAAATCTCTCTTCAGAGGAAAAGTAAAGTGGAGCATTTTATATATTTTCATCTCGCTGAAAACTGCATTTAGTTAGCAAACATGCAGTTTTCCATGGAACATGATCGTACTATTATTAGAATATTTTTAGTGCTAATAAACGCAATATGGAGTTTATCACGTTCGATTATTGGTTTATTTTATATAAATATGTGCCCACAATTTCCAATTGAAATACGGCCCAGTCCGATCACAAATCACATAGTTCTGCGAAGAGCATTGCGAACCATCAATGCTAGTACTAATATATATAACAAAGCCCTTTTTTGTTTTGAGTGCAGTGCTATTCATTGGTCGAAACCCAAGAGGCGGCAACAGGTGACCAGCAGTAGTCAACAGCTTCCCCCCTTTCTCCCACTTAGAAAGTGCAGTGAAAGCCAACACGAAATTGTTCAATCAACAACAATTAGACAAAACCCTTTTCATGTTTATGGAATTCCCATTTACATTTGCATTTGCATTTGCATTTACATTTACATTTCCATTTCCATATCGCCAGTTTGGAGAATGCTTTCATTCGTTTTCGCCTGCGGCATGCCAAAATGTCGTTGGCAAACACGTCGCACATCTCATATATACGAAATATGTATACTATATGATACTTCTATGTCCCAAAATGCTGGCAGTCCCACCAATGTGGACATGTGTTAGCGCAGACATGGAGTCGCTCGATTAGATTAGATACTACTGACGACAGCCACCACATTGGCTAATATCTGGAATACCATTGACTTTATGGACCAGCTGCCTGGACTTATTGAATCACTCGTACACCCATCTGGTGTACATATAGCACGTTAGATATTGTTACTGGAACACAATAACGCAGCCTAGAACCCAAATATTCCATATTCCATATTCAACACATTAAGGATTTCCCAAGCGAGTATGTTACATCCAAATGAATAGCTCTGCAACTGAATCACTTGCCTCGTTCGTATCCATTTCAGAAACGTAATATATCACAAGCAGTCAGTTGCTCAATTTATCGGACAAATTGATTCATCTTCCACCGGATGAAGTGCCCACTGTAGCCGCATTGGATTTGGATTCTGATCAATTTGGCCGATTATGCTCGCCTAATTTGAGGCAATTGCAACTGGATGAAAATGATAGAAATGATGATTTGCCAGTGGCCATTATTCCATTATCTCGATGAACGATCGCATTCCACAGAGCACTATCTCGATCACTATATCTATCTCTATCTCTATCTCTACAACTATAGCTATATCCATCTCTATCCGACGGGCTCAAGGCCATTTACACATTCAACTGAAATGGAACTGAAAACTACTGGCGAACTGGAAGCGGAAAAATGAAAACTAGCAATTGTGTTGTTTGTGGCTTTTTGTCAGCGGGAAAATTGCACACGGAGAAATAATCATCACAAATACGTTGAGTTGTTACACCTGTCTTTGATCTTGAAATAGGTATATTTTACTGAGCTATCACATCGATAAGTGTAATGATAAATTAGTTTGCTAGCAAAGTGCGTCCCCTTCAAAAGTGCATGCATTTAACTATGGAAATCCCCATTTTTTAACATGGGTTAAGGTTATCTCGGCGAAATATAGTCATGATGACATATCTCACATGTAAATCCAGATAACGTGCCTCAGTTTCGCAATATTGTTAGTTGAATTGTTAGTTAACACGTTGTTTAACTTTACTATCGGCAAACATAATTAAGCTACTAGGTGGCGGTAAAATTGTTTGCCACCCGTCAGACAAAGCCGACTAATTTCACTTGTCAGGGGCTATAAAAATATTGTGCCATTTCGTTTTGAAACGTAGATATATGTACATATGTACATTATCGTAGTATCTTTTGTGACCTAAGCTATGATCAGATCCTTAAACTTCCTTGCACAGCATTGGTTGTTGTGCATTGGGGCTCACAGTTCACACATGATACGTACGCATACTGGTGGCTCCATTCAGGCGCTGATCGAGGGGCATCGTGGCCCCCACACCGATCCCTGCCACACTCGCGATGCCCGTACCCGTTCCAGTTCCCATTCCCAAATCCATCGCATCATCGGCACTGGCAGCGCGATTAAAGGGTCGCGGTTTGCGATTTTTGAAGCGCAGGCGCAGCTCCGTGTTGAGAACGCGCATTATGTCGACGGGCGGAAATCGATGGGAATATATATAAGCACTGCATGCACTAAGTTAAACAAAAAACACAAGCGGAGGAGGGGTTCTTTCTGGCCTTTTGCTATTGTTTAGCTGGTTTGGTTTGGGGCGCGGGAATTGGAGCAAACGCATCAACGACTCCAACTCAATTTGTGCCCCGCATCGATCGCTTTCCGATCACTGATCACTGGAGCACTCGGGGAAAAAAAAAAAAAACAAAACAGAACTAAAATAGACGCATGATTTCGGGGCTCGCCGCTATGTATGATATCACACTGCTTGCAAATCACGAGCTATTCAACGACCATTTATTCAACTCGACTCGATTTATGGTTTGTGTTTCCGTGCGGAGAGACGCCAGGCACACACCGTTGTTGTGAAAATTTCGCGTGCGACTGACCGACCGAGCTGAGCCACCCAATTCAACCCAACCCAACCCAACCCAACTAACCCAACAAAACTGAGTCAACCTACCATACCATACTATACCGCCGCCACCAGCGGCGAGCAGTAGGCAGGCGGTAAGCGGTAAGCGATGAGCGGCAGCGGTACGCGGTGAGCGGCAAAGCGATGAGCTGCGAGCGCACCAACTCTTACAATCTAATCGCGAGACCACTGGGCAGAGCGCTCATCGCCAGATCTGACAGTCTAGCTACTTTCCCCGCCCCGCCTGCTGCCTTTCAGCACTCCCTTGAGCTGCATAGCAGTGACTATTAAATTACTTTTAAATGCTGTGCAATACCGTGCGGCTAACTTTGTAAAGCCACTCCACAAGCTCCATACATGCATGGCTAATGCGTTGCGTAACTCAAGTTCTTGAACAGAAACTAACCAATTGGAAAAGAAAATAGTTGCGACTAGCTTTGTGATTAGTTTTTATTAGTACCGATAATCTGCACTCGTTTCTTTCGAGTTCAGTAAACTGCTGACTGCTGACTGTTGACTGCTAGTTAAAGGCTCGCGAGTGTGACGGCCAGTGCCTGTTATCATCGTCAGGGGCTCTTATCAGGTTGATGGAAACATTCAAGTCAGCTGGCGGCTCTTTAAATTTGCACTCGCAGAAAAAGGTAAACACCGAATGAGCTTAGCACACACAGAAAGGCAGACGTTGCCATTAAATTTGTTTTTTTTTTCAAAATTCATGTTAGTGGTCATGCAAAGTGGGCGCCAAGCCAATGAAATCCACACAGAAACTACAAATTAAATAATTAGCTGAAAAAGAAAAAAAAGTGCCCAGATATTTGCTTAGAATTTAAGGCAGTTAAATTGCCAAGGAAATTCAATTGCAGGCGAATGGAATATCCTTGAAAGGCAACTTATCTGGGCAGCAACAAGTTCCAATGCATTTTCCTCGAAATCGGAGCTCTGCTCATTAATTATAAGCTAAAAGCTGGCGTTGCATGAAACCAGAATCAACAGGATAATGCTGGGGCAAACAGAAGTGCAATTATAAACGGACACCAGGCAGCAGGAATTGTGTTTCCAGGAATTAATTAAAACATGGGTGGGGAATGGTAACGAATGGTTGCAGGATTCATATGCATTTTCACCCACTTCACTTTCCCAGCGTTCTAAATGCTAGTTCCGAGAGCAAGTGCATTTTCCGGGAAATCACAATCCCTGGCGTTTGGTCGGAATCAACAGAATAATAGACGGAAAATAGTAAATCACATAAAATAGCACATGGAACCTGATATTCGCAAGAATTTAATAATGTGTGCGTGATTGGGATGAAATTCAAAATTAGTGCTCCATATGTGGGCAGAAAGTGCATGAATATAGTCAGCAGGTCGTATTTTCATTGAAATCACACATTCGTCGCACTTTAGTTAATCGAGACTTGCTAATTTGTGTTTAAGCCGTATAATTAATTACTCAGATAAATTAAGACCGTATTATTAGTTAAAATAAAAAAATATTTCGGTTTTTATTTATCTAATTATTGTTGTGAAAATCCTTGCCTACTTTTTTGCTAAGCCCAAAAATGTGTGGAAATATTAATGATATCGTTTCCAATGGCCGAATTCTGTTAAGGATTTTATCTAAGTGTAAATGAGTCCTATGCATCCAGAACTCTAGTTAATAAGGATTTTCGGAGAACAGTTAATTAAAATAATTCCACAGATAAGCAAAGGTCAAATGCAATCGGAAAATTCCGGGAAATTTTTAAGCAGTTTCCATATGGGATGCAAAAGTGAAATTCTATGGGTTAAGACAAGAGGAGGATAAATTCCAATTAGGATGACAGCCTTTTATCCAGGTTTCAAACCATGTGAATTTAGGAGGAGTTTTAGAGGAAAAAACCAAAGAGTGTGTGTGTGGGAGCGGTGGTGGGGTGCAGGGGTGATGCGAGGGGCAAAATGAAAATAGGAAGAGGAAATGGAAATGAAAATGTTTGCCTTCGCTTCTGGAGTTGTTCGTCCAATGTTTAACACTTCTGGAGGAGAGGCAAATGCAACTGCAGCATCTAAAAGTCTAAAAATAGACTTGTTGACAGCTCCCAAAACGAGCAGCAGCAGCCACAACAACAAGAACAACAACAATGAAAGACGGGGGCGTTGCTGGATAAAGGCGGGTGCGGGGGTGTGGGAGAAGCAGAGGGATTGCGGGTAACAGGAGCAAGGGGATGAGGAGGAGACAGAGGCATGTGTGTAAACGATGGAGGCGAATGCAAACGGTAAACTGTGTGGAAGTTGGAAGGAAAAGCCAAGGAGTCGCAAAAAAAAGAGAGCGCTAAAGAGCGAAATACTGACCGATTTTCTGCAGTATATTCATGATGAGGCCGTCTGTTTTCGCCAGGATTCACAGATTTCCCTCTTGGCAATTTTCATTCTCCTTTGTCCACAATGAAATTCGGTTCTTTTTGCTCATAGCCGCCAGCCAGTAAATATAATTAAAAACACGAAATTCTCCTTCTCTTTCACACGCACATTTTCGTTCTCCGCTTGAGTAGTATTAGTATTTGCTCACACACACCGTACAGTATTTTTATTTGATATTTCGCCCCGTCTCGCTCTGACTGCACATATATGTATATTTAAATGTGTTTGCGATCCGCGCATCGTATTCACTGGAATTCAGTCGCACTCACACTGCACTTTTGGCCGGCTCTCATTTGGGCCAAAAAAAAAGAAAATATAAAAAAATAACAATACAGTTTTAAACGCGCAACACAACAACAAAATGCGGTGACCGTTGCGCAGTGCTGCTAAAATGCTTCCCAAACAATGTGAAAATAGTGACGAAGAAAGTGACGATTGTCACTTGTTATCGATAGCGCTATCGGTATTGGGCGATGATAAGGTGCCACCTCTAGCACACGAAGATTGAAACTATCGATAGACAATGACAGAACGTTTGAAAAAAAAGTTGAAGATCTCTCGCGTAGTTTATTGATTGCATTGGTAATTTAATTGCAATATTTATAATTACTAGCGGGAGTATAATTACCGGTGCGTGTGTGTGAGCCTAATCGCCGGGTTTTTCCATCCGTGTGTGTTTGTGTGGGTGTGCAGTTGCAGCGCTGCACCTCAAGTGTGCAAGTGTGTGTGTGTGTGCAAAACTGCTCCTTTGTTTGCCCATAAAAAAAAGAAGCGGCGTCGCCTTTGCGCAGTTGTTGTTGGTGTAGTTGCACCACCCCCTCTCCGGTACTCCCCACTCCACCCCCGTGCACCCTTTGTTGTTGCATTTGTAGTTGTCATTGTCATTGCCGCCGCTTTGGAGTCTTCCTCTTCTTCTTCTGCCGGCGCCAGGGTGTGTGCTGCAAAAAATAAGGAAAAGGAAACGAACGAAAAGCGAGAAACGAAGAAGTATATCAAAAATAAATTCACCCCTCTTTTTATTGAATTGCACGTAAACTAGAAAGTAATACCCAATAATCAAATGCAATGTATGCAAAATAAAGGAAGGAAAACTCGGGAAAATGTCAATAAATGCATATAAGCAACAACAACAACAAGAACAACAAAGTGACCAAAAATCAACCACCAGAAGTGCAAATGTGTGTGTGTGTTTAGTGGGTGAAAACAACAAAACTGCTAGCCGGCTTGTTTTTAGCCACCCCCAGCCAAGCGAAAGAGAAAAAGAGAGATAGGGATGCAGATGCTCGTGCTCTCCCACGCCGCCTGCTGACATCCGTTAACCGTTAGCCGCTCAGCTCTCCTGCAGGTTGCACCTGTGCCCGTCTCGCTCTCACTTTGCAACATCGCTTCGTTACATTGCCTTTGATTTTGCTTTTCTAAATCACTTGACCCCATTACCTGGTGTCTCCGCTGGCCAATACCTGCTTGGCAGTCCCCCAGCCGCGCCTCCTTTTACCCCCAGTGGTCATTTGTTTTGCCGCTTTCTAACAAACAGAAACAGTTGAATTGGCGCATGCTCTCTCCCTCCCGCTCTCGCTCTCTCAACGTTTGCTAACTGCACTCGGGAAACTACAGTGTGGCCTCCAGACAGTTAACTATAAAACTAAAGTAATTACTAATGAAAACTACTCATATTTTGCAAAGAAACATTTAATTTGTTAGATCTAAAAACAAATTGATGTAACCACACTAATGTGATGGTTAGCTTACAGAGTGCTCACTGTGGTCATCCATAAACTGCAAGCCAAGTGGGTTGTGTTTGTACAAGTGTATGTGTGGTGAAACTCTCCATTAAATTTATCAAAAGGATCGTTAACCCTTAGGTGTGGCATATTAACCCTTACCGCCGCTTGGATCATACTGTTTGGTGTTGCCATTCTCAGCAGTTGTTCAAACTCGTACTTAATATTTGCAAACTGCACATTAAAAATTAGTACAAATAATACAAAATATACGTTTAGCTTTGCAGAATGTGAATAAATAGCGTTGAAAAGAAGATCACTAACCCATAGGTGTGGCAAATTAACCCCTACCGGCCGGATCGCATAATTTTTGCCCAGTGTTTTTCCTCGCCTTTCCTGATGATGTACAAACAAACATTCGCATACACACTCAAACAAACACGTACGCCAAATGCGCGAGTGTTGGTCTGGCTGGCTCATCCGGCTTTGGTGGACACCATTCTTGTCCAGCTTTCTCTTTTCAATAGTCGTATCGCCGCAATAGCAAGTGCATCTCTCTTTTTTTTCCCCTACTTGCTAAATGTATTATTATTTATATTCGGTTATCGGCTATTGTTTGCCCTATCGAATTCGGATGACGATGAGTCAGGAGCGGCGGCGGGCAAGGCGATAACAAACTGTGGAATGTCCCCCGCGCACCCAAGTGATATCATACTTATGCGGCTATTTTGCCATTTTCCAGAAACGAAACTCAGAAACGGAGAAGCGCAGCGGAGAGCGAAGCGCAAGAGAGCGACTGAGAGGGAGCCAACGGACTAGTGACAATCGACCATCAGGCATCCAACCATCAACCATCAGGCATATACAATCCACAATCGGCACTCTACACTCGAGCAGAGAGCGTCCATATCCACATCCGCATCGGATCGCCATCACATCGGATCGAAGCCCCCCATCTCAACCAAGTAGCCAACCATGGCCTGGCGATTCAAGGCTTCCAAGTACAAAAATGCCGCACCCATTGTGCCAAAGGCAGAGGCATGCGTCCGCGAGATCTGTGTGGGCAGCTACCAGACGTACGGTAACAACATCGCCGCCTCCGGCGCCTTTATGGCCTTCAACTGGGAGCACACCGGCTCCAGCGTAGCTGTCCTCCCGCTGGACGATTGTGGCCGCAAGAGCAAGACCATGCCGCTGCTCCATGGGCACACGGACACAGTGACGGACCTCAAGTTCTCCCCGTTCCACGACGGGCTGCTGGCCACCGCCTCGCAGGATTGCCTGGTAAGAGATCACCGAACTGTATATTTTTCAATATTTCATGTGAAATGTTTTAAAAATATATTATGTGTTAGGTCATCCCTTCCCAGTGATTTGTCCATCAAGTTACTCATATTATTTACTTATACATTAATTATTCTGCATTAATCTTATACATTGTTGTTTCCCAGAAGCTAGAGATAAAAAAGTTGCGTGTTATGATGAGTTTTTGAGTGAGATAAGAACCAGCAATCAATAATGTGCTATTATTAATACTAATAACTCACCAGAAACCATAAGATCCGCGAAATGCTTAGTCACAAATTTAATAGCCAACATGATACACAGTCCCCCAGCTAATCAATCACTCCCATTGCAATTTACAGGTCAAAATCTGGCACATACCGGAAAAAGGTCTGGAGCAGTCGCTTTCCGATCCGGAGGCCATCTTCTCACACAAGCAGAGACGCGTCGAGACAGTGGGCTTTCATCCAACGGCCGATGGCTTGATGTACTCCACAGCCGCCGGCTGCGTGGCTCTCTTTGATCTCAGCACCCAAAAGGAGATATTCTGTGAGTGAACACATCCTTTTTTAAATGGTACCCAAACTAAATGTATTTTTGTCCCTACAGCGAACAATGAGCATCCCGAGGTCATACAGTCAGCCAGTTGGCGGGAGGATGGGTCCGTTTTGGCCACCAGTTGCAAGGATAAGAATGTGCGAATCTTCGATCCCCGTGCCGCAGGTTCACCCATCCAGCTGACTGCTGAGTCACATCAGAGCATCAAGGATTCGCGGGTAGTGTGGCTGGGCAATCAGCACCGCATCCTGACCACTGGCTTCGATGCGGCCCGACTGCGACAGGTGATCATCCGTGATGTGCGCAACTTCAACACGCCAGAGAAAACTCTTGAGCTGGACTGCTCCACGGGCATACTGATGCCACTCTTCGATCCCGACACCAATATGCTTTTCCTAGCCGGAAAGGGTGACACAACCATTAACTACTTGGAAATTACGGACAAGGATCCGTATTTGATTGAAGGTTTGCGTCATACTGGCGAGCAGACGAAGGGAGCTTGTCTGGTGCCCAAGCGAGCACTTAAAGTCATGGAGGCGGAGGTTAACCGGGTGTTGCAATTGACCTCCAACATGGTCATACCCATCATGTACCAGGTGCCGAGAAAGGTGCGTATACTAATATAAAATGTATCCTCGAAGTACTAAGAAAATTCCACAGACATACCGTGATTTCCACGCCGATCTATATCCGGAGACCACTGGCTACAAGACTGAACTGGTGGCCGGCGAGTGGCTGAATGGCAGCAACCAGGCGGTGCCCAAGATGAGCCTTGATCCCGCCAAGCGCGAGCATGGCGATGAGCCAATTATTGTAAGTAACCTTCTATTTATTAATATTTCGACTTATAGATTGTAAGATTGGAAAACGGAAGACCAGTACTTCAGGGGTTAACGTAGTTAGGGTTCAATAGTTAGCTCTTCTTGGGCGTTTCGTTTAACCCCAATTTGGCCATCAATGCAGATTCATCGCGGTAACCTGAGCGATTTTGTTAAGAACCTGGAGAATCAGCGGGCCAAGAGCAACACCACTGGGAAACCCAATCAGCAGGCCAAACGCAACGATAACGAGCACTTTGTCATGCTAAACAAGGGGAATAACTTTGAGGAGAAGAACGGCAATGACAACAGCAACGATAGCAACGGAAAGAAGAGCATACCTTCACAAACCCAACCAGATGGCGAGTGCAGTGAGCTCATCCGTAAGTTCGAGGCCAAATACAAGGTGGATTCGGAGAAGGAAAAAGCCCATGCCTACGCCCAGTCCCAGGAGGATGACAAGGAGTCACCCACCGAGCAGGAGCATTCGACTGGCAGCAGCGAGGAGGTCTCCTCGTCCGGTGGACTGGACAACCATTCGGCCAGTGGCAGCCACTCCCCACCGAAGCCCATGCCGCGCACTTCGCGCAACAATTCCCTACCGGAGGCTAGTGATTCCGCTGGGGAAAGCAGCAGCACCAACACGCCGCGCCCAAGGCCTCGTACCACCGCTGCGTCTGCTTACAAGGTGCCGTCACCATCACTTCATAATCCACCGCCAGATACTCCTTTTTGTTTATTGTTTGTGTATTATATCGTTTAGCTGATTATTATACTTTTGGGTAAAGTTTTAATTAGTTTTGGCTGCACTCAGGTAATTTTTTCCTATTTTTTCCGGATATTGTTGATATTGAGGCGGCCGTTGCTGTTACCAATAACCAAGTCAACAGATTCGCGTCATCTCCCGATTCATATTTCAGCGCCCTACGTTTGTTTTCTTCATTTGCAGTTGGTTGCCGCTTGGATTTCCTGTGAAACACCTAGAAATTATGTT